TGCAAGGCAAGAAAAGAAAAGATTAATAGGAAAGAGCAGAGGAAGATGAGAGAAAAGGTGAAAACATTCTGGTATAAATATAGACTAAACTGTTACCAATATGAACAATATAAACTTAACTGCAGTTATGTTTAACAATGGCCAACATGCAATTGCTCTGTACACATACCCAGAGCAAATGAAACCAAGAAGGTTAACAAAAAGATACCTTAAGGAGTTTCCCCTCATAACATCTTACTAATACACCCTCACATTTGGCTTGTTTTGGTAAAACACGTCTCAATGCCAGAACGGAAAACCCACACAGCATCGCAGCAGGAACCTCAATGTACACCACAGCATCCCTTTCTACAGGGAGTGTTGCTTACCCCATGCCCCCCCATATTCCCCAAATGATTTTCAGATCAAGTCCCTGTATCTCCATCTGTTCTACTTCATTATATATCCTTCCTCACAACAATTTTCAGTACTATTAGATGTCCATTTCTATAGACGTATGGGATTGCTGATCTGCGCAGCAGCAATACTTCCTCTATAAAGGGATTTTGAAAATTCAAGGAATTTCAAATACTTCATGACAAAACATGTATCTGTCAGTAAGGACTGTTGACTAACAGAGACTGTTGATTAACAGTTCCCATGTATCAAGCTGTTCAACTATACCACCAAAGTCTAGAGAAGAGACATTAGCAACGCACAGGGACATGTGAAATGACATCTGGACAACAAACGTCAGTATAGTTTTACAGAACAGACCAGGCTTCAGGTTAAAAAAAGGCAAAATACAAAAAAAATAATGAAAATACCTGAAACTTCTTTTACAACCACTTCCAGAGCAACAGATGTTATTAAATTATGCAGAACACCACACTCTTTATCATATCATGTGGCAGCTGGAAGGGCAAGATAATGCAAGGGAAAAAAAAATTCTCTTCCATTTTTTTACCGTTACACTTACAATAACTTACAAAGCCCTGCTTTCTACAACTGCCAAAGCCCTCTCTGAAAGACACCCCTCAGTGTATTTCTTGACTTATACAGATTCCTAGTAAAATAATTATCCTTAGTTAAAGGCTGTTGGACCTTTTCAGTCAAATGCTATTTTCCTCCCGTTAAAGTTATAGATCGAACAGAATTTGTCATTGCTTTTATTTTGGATGCAGGCAAACTGTTCTACAAAAACACCCTAAGCTTCCTAGAAAAAAAATACAGTCTTTGTTTGGTTACTTTTCGAAGTTTACCAAGCAGGCCACAACCACCATGCCCATTCTCTGCATTACTACCCAGCAGAGATCCTAAATTTAAAACACAAGTTTTGATATGATGAACACCTGCCTACTCCAACTGCAGGAGGGTGAACTGAAGGAGCTACATTAATGGAAATACAAACTGATCTCAATATCAAGAAATGGAGTCTGATCACAGTTCTGCAATATTTATGACACCTGTTTTTCCCTTCCAGGATACAAATGTTACATGTCTTATTACTCAGAAAGCAAGACTCTAATCAAAACTACTGAAAAACGTAAGTGTGAGGGAAGACAGACATGGATCTGTAATGCAACAGCACCCAAACAAATCTACTATATTTGACTCTCATTGTACTAAGTGCCACAGAAAACACAGACATTGTATTACAATTAAAAAAAGCTTACAACTGACATGAAACAATGAAGATGGGGGGATCAAGTACTGCACAGACACAGAGTAGAAGGATGGATGACAGGCAAGTGTTTGAAATCATCTTCTTCGAAAAGAATGGTTAGTAACTTTGCTTTTATGGTCATGCTTCACCAGAGCTTCTTCCTTCCTTTAATCACATTTTTTTCTCAGGAGTCAAGCTATGCCTATACCATTTACCAGCCTATGCCTGTAAAAGGCCCAACTCTTGACTGACACAGCTATGCTGTCACTTACCTCTGCTATTTGTGTAGTTATATCAATAAAAGCAGAACTGTGGTTGTACAGTTGATTTTACTCACTAAAGTGATTTTACCACAGCAGTGAGAAGCACCACATTGCTGGTATAACCAGGTCACGTTCAGTACGCCCTCCTGGAAAGGCCCTTATTATTTAAGAGCACTTCGGGGAAGACATGCCATTAAAGCCAACTCTCTGGATTTCACAAGTGGTTGGGCCCTGCCAGTCTCCCATCCCATGTGAGATTCAGAGGCAGGATCACAGGCATTTATTTCACATTTACTGCCCTTGGTTATATTCAACAAGCTAGTGCAAAATCTAACCCATATTTGATACCTAGAATATAACAATAAAAATGTAAGAGCTTTCCCACACACTAAAGTACATATACTAAGATGTGTCATCACACAGTAGCCTGGAGGCTTTCACGAGAACACATGCTATAAAACACTACTTTCATTAAACCTTATTCCCAGATGACTGAAGTATGCAGCATAGGACCAGAGCAAACAAGTTTAAGTTGTTTTAAATGCAAAACCAGATGTGTTTCTTCAAATTTTTTTAATATCTAGAAAAGCTTTCAGAATATGCCCATTAAAAATATTTATAGTCCTCATTACCTATAAACATAGCAAAACAATTAAATAACTGAAACTAAAATAACATGCACATACTTGCTCCTGGAAGATTTTTTAAATGCTGAATTACCTAATTTATAAAAATCAGTGGCTAATCACTCTGAAATACAACCTGCTGCAGTGCCTCACCAACTTCCAACAGTGACTTCTGTTGGTGCAGGCACAACATTTCTTGAACTAGCTGCAAAATGAGAAGGGAAAAAAAAAGGAAACTGAAATCACCGGACAGTGCATTTTCCTCTGTCAGCAAATTTAATTAAATGTTTAAAAAAAAAAAATCAAGTCAATTAGTCCCAAAATTTTGAAGGACATTATAACCAAAACCTCCAGAACACTAAGTTTGAGCCTCCTGCTAGATAATAATCAAGTAAATTTGCACAACACAGTTACATAAAACATGTTGCCTGTTTGTTACAATGCGGCAAAAAGTTTTTACTTAACAAAATGTAAGATCTTGCTTGTGCATTTAATGAATTCTAATTTTTATCCAAACAGAGCTTGATGCAGAAGTGAAGTAAAAATTAATCACCAGACTGAAAGAGAAATGCATAATTGACCACTTTCTAACACAGACACACCTAGAAACTAAAAGGCCAAAGAGAGGAATACATATATATATATATTTACACTACAGACATAGCCTTAGCTTTCTAGTTCAGAAAAATCTAGCTCAAATCAACACTTATCAACATGTAGCAATTAAAACTTATCAGCAAGGATTGGCATTTCCCACACAAAAATAAGAACATTCAAAAGGAAAAAAGAATTATAGTTAATACTCCTATACATTACCATGATAACATTGTTGTTTATTTACTAACATCTGAAATACGTCTCCAGGAACAGTGGACAATACTGAGTACCCAGATATGTTTTAACACATCCAAATAAATACATGGGAAAATTATTTGGTCTGCATCCACTTCAACTCTCAGCTTCTTGTCTTGCACAAGTTTCAAAACTAACTCCCCCTCCCCAATTTACTACTTCAGTCCTGCTTGTCTCCACTACTAAGTAATATGAACTTGACTGTGTCCATGACAGAATTCTCCCTGTCAGGGGCAACTAATCAAGGCGGGTGACAATGAAAAGCTAGTCATAAGCAGCGGTACTCGGGAGGGGGGGGGGGGGGAGAAAACAAGGTTATTATTGAACAGAAATAATAGCTATCTGAGAGTTTACGGGAACTTCATTCACTCCATGTTTGAGATACACTTCCTTCACTGCCCTTTGAAAAACGCATGTGAATTACTGAAAGCTGGACTCATTCAATCTGAAGTATGTACTCAATTCTTGACTTGTAACCAAAAAACCATTCACTGGAACGCGTTACAGCCTTCGCCGCTGACAGAAGCGTTTCCAAGTCCAATTTCCTTTCCCTACATAAGAGCAAAATTAGCTGTCAGCGTCAGTTACTCCCTACACGAAAGTTTAGCACCCGTCCAGCGGCACCGCTCTTAACGCCTGTCCACAAAAAGACGCTCGGCGAGCAGGCGGAACGCTCACCGACACACCACCACAAACGGAGGCAGAGCTCCAGCCTCAAGTTGTCCGGGACCAAAAACTCGCCCAGGACTTTACCCCTCACGACCACACCGCTCTCCCCTCACGCTGCGGAGCCGCCACCACGCCGGGACCCCCCCCCCACCCCAGCCCCACTGCAAGGGGCTCCCCCCGC